CTCCCTTCCTTCCTCCCTTCCTTCTTTCCTTCCCTCCCTCCCTCTTCCTTTCCTTTCCTTTCCTTTTCTTTTTGGTTAGTCATGGGTCTTGAAGTCAGAGCCTTGGTGCTGTCCCTGAGCTTTTGCACTCAAGGCTAGCACTCTATGACTTTGTGCCCCAGTGCCATTTCTAGTTTTCTGGTTGTTAATTGAAGAGTCACATGGACTTTCCTGCCCAGGCTGGCTTTGATCTGTGATCCTCAGATCTCAGCATCTTGAGTAGCTAAGATTACAGGCATGAGCCATGGGTACCTGGCTCTCTGAACTTTCGATACGATATGAGACAGTAATGTAACAAGTTATACTGTTTATGTAGAAGTTTCAGAGTCCCTCTCACTGGATTTATTCTGAAGCCCTAAGTAGAAAAAAAATCACAACAATCTCTCTCTCTCTCTCTCTATCTCAGAGACATTCACATTAGCGGTAACATCCAAATCTTGTGATTACGTGATACATAATGCTAAACAAAAACACAACTCTAGTTTACTAGTCTCCTTCAGACACTTGTACTTTCGACTGAAATAAACCTCTCTTTTCAAATGTGCCACCATTCATAAACTCTCAAAGGGCAGCATCGAGAGTGGGATTCTATTTGCAGAAAGGCACTAGACCTTCAGGATAAATCAAATGAAAAGAACCAGCACTTACTTGGCATAAACCACTGATGCACATATCCAAAGATTCTGTGTAGCAACGTGTACCATCTAGGACCTTCGGTGCTAGCTCAACAACCAGGGCTGTTCCTTTGGCTTGGCACTTGAGCGAACATGGGTTGTCAGGGTCATTGGAAACTGGAAGCCATTCATAAAACTGGCCATGATGCTTCACATCGTTATGGGCTGAGCATTGCTGTGCTCGGAAGTCACCTGCTTCTGGTGGGCAATCCTGGAGAGGAAGGAGAAGAGGGAACAAATACATGTTAAGAGTACAGCCTCGTACAGAAAGCTTGAGAAGCTGTGAGGTCTTTGAAGGTCATAGAAGAAAAAGTAAATGTCTCAATCATTACAGATGATTCCTATCCTATTATTTGAAACATTATTTGGCCCTTAAAGTATGGAGATTGAAGGAAGTAATCAGTTTGACATATTTTTTCCAATTGAGATTAAATGAGAAAGAAACTAGCCTGAAACCAGTCTTCTAATTGACACTAGTTGGGAAAATAACCATTTTGAAATGTGTCTATTGACATACAAACTCTTTCACACTGCTGATGGTATTTTAACCTTGCAACTAAATAGATCCTGAGACTAAGACAAGAGCATTTTGTCCCATTTAGTCCTGACATTCAGAGGATGACTTTTTTTGGAATTGGTTGTGGTTTTGAGACAAGGTTTCACTATGTAGCTCAGACTGACCTCAGCCTCAAAATCCTCCTGCTTCTGTCTCAGAATGCTTGTATTACAGGCATGTACCACCACACCCGATTTAGTAATGGTGGCAAAGAGTTAGGATAATTTCATTCAGAAAGTTTGTGAGGATGTTTGGATTTTTTTTTGTAGAACTCAAGTTGCACAGTATCTATAATTAATCATTGAAGAACAAAAATATTGGCATTTATGCATGCATCCCTTTGGATTTAGGAAGAGTAGGAGGTGAAAAGGGCTGGACTTCCTGCTCTGATGTGTGTGAGTGCACCCAATGTTCTCCCTGTGCCTGGTTTTCCTGGTACTCAGACCGGAGACATCAATTCACCCTCAAGGTTGTTGTGAGAAGTTCATGTTCTTATGGCAGCTATTCACCAGCACGGGAAGACTCCTGGCATATGGTAGTGATCATTGTAATGGTTTAATGAGGCTACTGACAACTAAGAGCCAGAGAATTAGGTAAGCCTCTCAATTTGAATTTTAAATCATATTGACAGAAACCAAGAGAAAATTAGAATCCTTTATATGTTTAAAAATTACCCTAAGGGGTAATTTTAAATGTGAAAAGCTGTGCCTAACAATGGCTATTTCCTAGAAAATGATCAAATTCAGTGCCTTTAAAAGGACTATTCCATTAGGTTTCAGTGGCTCATGGCTTTAATCCCAGCTATATAGGAGGCTGAGGTTTGAAGATCATGGTTTGAAGCCAGTCTGGGAAAACAAGACAGAAATATCCATATTTCAAATTAACCACTAGAGAGCTGGAAGTAAAGGTCTGGCTCAAGTGGTAGGGCATCAGCCTTGAGTGGAAAAAGTTAAAGGGCAGTGCCCAGGCCCTGAGTACAAGCCCTGAATAGTATAAAAACCAAACCAAACCAACAGACTTATTCCTTAGAAAAGCTTTTAAAAAATCATTTTGGGTTAGCTGTAAGGCTTGAACTCAGGGCTTGGGCAGTTTCTCTGAACTCTTTTGCTCAAGGCTAGCACTCTACTACTTGAGCCGCAGCGCCATTTCTTGTTTTTGAGTGGCTAATTGGAGATAAGAGTCTCACAAGGACTTTTTCTGCCTGGTCTGGTTTCCAACCGTGATACTCAAATCTCAGCTTCCTAAGTTAGAAAAGGTTTTTGACAGTTTTTTTCCCCTAAGTATCTTCAGAATGAGATTTACTATGAAGATTTTAGACTATATAGTTATAGACAGCCTAATTATTATAAAGAATTTGTACATGACCTGGAGAAATTCTTTTTTTTATGTTTTTTATTGTGAAAAAACTGTACAGAGGAGTTACGACCTGGAAAAATTCTTGTCACAGCATTGTAATTTTGGGAGTTCTTGAATACTGTTTCTTTCTCTGAAAATCTCTACATTACATGAGCTTTTGGAGAATAGAATTGTTCTTTATTTAATAAAATTCAATTTCTTGATATGTCCCAAACTTTTGTGGGTAGCATATAAAGCTCTGCTATCTGGAGGAACACATTCTGTCTAGGTAAGCTAGGATATAAATAATTAGACTTAGTTCAACTAAGCACATGATATAGTTCAAAATAAAATGGAAAAATCCAAAGACAATTGATTAGTAGTGATAAATATGTTTATTGTGAAAAAGCACAGTAATAAGGGAGAAGGAAATCAAATCTTAAATTATTTTGCATATTGTCTGAAAAAGGTATGATGAAAACTCATACCTTTCTTTTTTTTTTGGTCCGGTTGTGGGGCCTGAACTCTGGACCTGGGTGCTGTCCCTCAGCTCTTCAGCTCAAGGCGAGCGCTCTACCACTTGAGCCACAGCGCCACTTTCAGCTTTTTTCTTTCTGCTTATGTGGTGCTGAGGAATCGAACCCAGGGTCTCGAGCATGCAAGGCAAGCGCTCTACCACTGAGCCACCTTCCCAGCCCTCATACCTTTCTTATTAGTTTGATTTTTTCTTATTATTACCTTTGTTTGTTCTTTCTCTCTTTTAGATAGATTTTTACTAGCTCAGGCTGATTTAAAACTTGCCAAGTATCCCATGTTGGCTTTGAGTTTATGATCCACCTACCTCATTCTCGTAAGTGCTGGGATTACGGCATATACTTCCATGCCTGGCAATCATTAGCTTCTTAAGATAAAACACAGTTTAAAAATTCTAAAGAATTAATACATGGATATGTGTTTGTTATATAGGATATTATTTACTGATTGTGTGATTGTGAGATATCAAATAAAAACTATAAACTGCTAACCTATGATATAAACCACAAAACAGGTAAATTGTTTTAAATCATGACAGCCACCCAAATTAAATTCCAGCATTTTAACACCAGTCCATTTCATACCATGTACTTTAAGAGCACAGACAAACTAATTTAATATGAGTTCTTAACAATTTACATTCCAGCCAGGCTTGGGTGGCTCATACTTGTAATCCTAACTACTCAGAGACTGAGTTTCTGCCAGATGTGGCAGAAAATTCTGTGTGACTTTTATCTCTAATTAACCACCAAAAAAGCTGGAAGTGGAGGTACGGTTCAAGTAGAAGAGCACCAGTGTTGTGTGGAAAAAGCCAAACAAGCAAGAACCCAAGGCCCTGAGATGAAGCCCCAGTTCTGGCACCAAGAGAAAAAAAGTTTACATTTACATTCCAATGGCAAGACTACAAGTTGTCTATTTTACAAATTCTACTAATATCGGCTGGGACTTCACTTATTTCTGCCCTAAAACCTTATAGTTAACTACAGCTCTCAAATTCCTCATATACTTCCAGACTCTCCATTTGAAACACCAAAGAACTTCTCTCTAGTTGCTGCTTTCCTGGCTCAGCAGGTTGAACACACCTAGTTTTATATCATCTGCAGCAAGTCTGTCTGGTATCATCACATGAGAAAGTCCAAATGTTGACTTTAATTTAATCTAGGCTTTTCTCTTGCCTAATATCATTCACCCAAGGTCTCATTTGGCTGCTCTATGATACAGAAGAAAGACTGAAATGAACTCAATGAAACAGAATAGGAAGAAACTTGTTTGAAATAGTCCTGAATCCTTCCTGTTTTTACTTTTGCTTCTTGTTTTCTATAGCACAATAAATACAATTCAACCAGTTCTAAAGAAGATAACTCTAAAGTTAGGCTAAATCACCATTGTCTTAAAATAAGAAGGATAAAATATACCTGAGATGTTTTAGTATGGACTAGAAATAATTTCTTCATTCATCCAATTCCAACAAAGATACTGATTACATTTTTTCCTTTTTATTATTATATTTGAGTAGTCATATAAACAGTTGCCAGTAAAAAAGCAGTTTATGAATACAATTTTTTTAACTGTAGTTTTTTCTCTTGTCTTTTTTGGTACTCTGGATTGAATCTAAGACATGGTACTTGGTGGTCCAGTGCTTTGCCACTGAGCTACATCCCAGTCCTCAATTATGATTTTTAATTGATGAGACTATATTATCTTAGTACAGAGAGAAAACTCCTATAGTCTCTTGAGTCCTTCCATTGGACAAAAATGTGTTTGATTCTCCTCATCTTTATTAAATAAAACTCAAGTGAGGTAATCTTAAAACTAATAAAAATGAAGCTGAAATGTGAAGACCTTTAGGTTTTCTTGACTGTGACAAAATTAGAAAATACATTTAGACATATTACAGAAAAGCAACAAGAAGACAAAGTTTCCATTTGCTCTTATTTGTATATCACAAGATCACCTGTTTTAGGTTTTATGTTTTTTCACAATTGGAAAAATACCTCCAAGAATACTAATGTTTGTGAATACCTTTACTCACTTTTATCACTGTTCTCTTTCTTTCTACTTACATTTTTTGTATATTCTGCTAAATTGAGAATGTAATTGGAGCCTGGAGAGCTAGATAAAAACTGAACTTGTATTTTCTTGATGTTTGAATTTATTTGTACTTGGCAAAATGTAACTTCCTGTTTTAAGAAAAGGACTTAAGAGAGCTTATAAAACAGGTTCAGAAAGCTTCTTGGACATCAAATAGCTCTTACAAAATAACATTTTGATAATTTAAGTGTAAATGAATCAGAAACATATGAATCAAATTTCCCTTGAAATACACATGTTTAAAAATTAAGGGAAGAAAAGATCTGGCAAAGGATTTTTTATTTGAACCCAAAACTTGTCAAGCAGAGTTCAAGACACCCTCAGACCCTTAATGTGTCTGGGTCATCCAGCTTTAAGACTGGAAACCTCAGGAAAGTCACTATAGTTTCTGTTCCTGTGAAGTATGGAAACAGATAATAACAACAGCAGAACAGCTATTATTTATACAGAGATTTAACCTCCATGAAATTTTATAATTATAATTTGGTCCATTATTAAACCAGTGTACTTCCTGAGACTCTTAAAAGTCAGATTTAGAAATGGGTGCCTTCAAGTGCTTAGAAAAATACTTAACAGCTTTTCCTGGACTTTGTCTTATCAGCTTCTGGAGATGCATCGCTGACAAGTTAGAGTTCTGAGCTGAAGTGGTGGCTTTCCTCAGGTGGACAAAAGGCAAATGTACTGAACATATGCAA